AAGGAGGATTTCAGCACGGTTGGGAGGAGGTTGCTGAAGCTTTGAGTGCTGGTGGTCTCCCAGTGCAGATGTCTCAGAGTGTTTTATTGGTGCCTCTGGCAATAAGTGTTGTGGGTCTCGGGTTTTGGAGCCCAAATCCCACCTTTACCAACAACAGTCGTTAGAAAATTGCTACATCTTTTTTTAAAAAAAACAAACATTTTCCTTGAGGGAAAAGCCTTTGATGGAAAGTCTTGGGAAAGCCCTCAAGACACCAGGGAAATCTTGATGCTTTTGGATGCCATCCTTCAACCATGCATCTTGCAAACGCAAGAACCCACCAAATTTAGGGTGGGGAAATAAAAAAAAAAAAACCAAACAAAAAAGGCAGGTTTTCATTATATTTTTCACTCAGACCTGGTGGTTTGCATGCTGGGATGTCATCTTGCAGCCCCATCCCTCTTTTTTTCCAGCACCCCTACCCCACAGAGGACGAGAAGAGGCAAATTGCTGCCCAAACCAACCTGACCCTCTTGCAAGTCAACAACTGGTGAGTGCAGTGGTGGCCTGCTTGTTGGCTTTAGGACTTTTTTCCACACTATTTTGGTGCTGTGGACTGCTTTTTGGGGGGTAACTTGGGTGTTAGGGCCGATTTTTGGGGTGTCCTACGTAGGGCCAAGAGTTGGACTCAGTGATCCTTGATGCATAATCTACAATTCTGTGATTTCTGGCAGACAAGATCACTTGTGTTCAGTGCAGCCTTGCTTTGTGAGGTCTCAGTGCCCTCTCCTGGCAAATCCAGTGTGTGGCACCTTCCCACTCAGCTGGAAAAATCAGTGCAGTGGTATAATGGGATAGAATCAAACCCCCCCAGATTTCTGAACCACCAAGGTACTTTTGGAAAGGTTTTATATTGCAGCTCATTGCTTTGCCACGGTGTCTGTTGTTTTAGCTCAGTGCTGGTGTAAGGACTCACGTTTACTCCAGTGTTCTCCCTTTTCCTTGGGAAGGTTCATAAATGCCCGGAGGCGCATCCTGCAGCCCATGCTCGATGCCAGCAACCCGGATCCTGCCCCCAAAGCCAAGAAAATCAAATCTCAGCACCGGCCCACGCAGAGGTTCTGGCCCAACTCCATCGCTGCCGGGGTCCTGCAGCAGCAGGGTGGCAATTCAGGGACAAATCCTGACGGTAAGGACAGAACCCAGTGCCCCCTGCCCTTCCAGGAGGGAGTGGCCATGCATTAATTGATGTCCTTAATTAGTAATTAAGGAGTTCTAGAGCCCTTTATCACACTGTGGGGAAAAACGTGTGGCCCACGCAAGAAGTTCCTTCCAGTTGGCCGTGGCAAGGCACTGGCAATGGGGCACTGCCATCCCCTTGGCACAGGAACAGCCCTCAGCAATCACCCACTTGGGATTTGGGATGTCTCCTGAGGTGCTGGGAAGGGGAAAAGGGGGAAATAGGGAGAGGGGAAGGGAGGAGAGGAGAGGAGAGATGGAGAGATGGAATGAGAAGGCAGATGAGACTAAATGGGAAGAGAGAAGATGAAGAGAATAGGTGATGAAAATGAAAGAATTAAGGTCAGGTGACAGATGAGACAAGGTGGGAAGAGGGATGAACAGAGAACAGACGAGGAAAATGAAGAGGAGAGAAGAGGAAGAGGTGAAGAGAGCAGATGAGCATAGACCAGGCAAGATGAAGAGATGAAGAGAAGGAAATATGGGAATTAAGAGAAGATGAAGACAAGATCTGCCCAACCAATTTGGGCATCTACTTGCTCAGAAGTGAAGGTCTTTTGTCATTTAACAATGATACATTAGCTGGAAAAATTAAGGGTTGGACACTGGGGAGTGACTGGTGCAGGTGGGATGCTCTACAGGGTGCTCCCTGAGCTTTTCACTTGGTTTATTCCTGGTTTATGCACTTTTTTGTCCTTTCTGTATCAGCTGGGGAATCCTTATTGCTTTATTTTTTTACACTTCAGGCTCGCTCAGCATGGACAACCTCCAACCCCTCTCATCAGCCACAGCCACCATGGCCATGCAGCAGGCCATGCTGGCAGCCCACGAGGACTCCCTGGACGGCACCGAGGAAGAGGAGGAGGATGAGGAGGACGAGGACGAGATGGAGGAGGAGGAGGAAGAGGAGGAAGAGCTCGAGGAAGAGCCCGGTGGCCTCCCAGCAGCCCCCGGCGCTGACCTTGGCTTGGACCACAGTGACTCGCTGGAATAGCTCCTCCTGCACCCTCCCCGAATCACTTGACACCACCGGACACAAAATTCCCCCCCCCTCCACCTTCAAAATGCCAAAAACAAAAAAAGGCAAGAACAAAAAAACAATTCGGGAGAGAAAAGCAAACTGGCGGCGCCGGCGGGAGCCCACGGGAGCGCGGGCACCGCCCTGCCGGCGCCTGGAAGTGAAGGACACATGTTTACAAAAGGCACATATTGTGGCCAAAATTAATCTTTTATTTCAGGTTTTTTTGGGTTTTTTTCTTTTCTTTTCTTTTTTTTTTCCCCCCCTTTAATTTTTTGGGTAAGCAGAAGCGTTTTTAGGGAACGGCGTTTTCCCCGCCGGGCGAGGGCGGGTTTTCCACTGTGGGTTTTCCACCCCCCCGTCCATCCCGTCCATCCCTTGGATTTCTTGGCGTGAAGGAAAACCACACCGACCCCGGGACTTGATGCTTTTTGGGTTTTTCCCCCCCAAAAAAGGTTATTCACAGGCATAAACATCAGCACGGAGGGGGAAGAAAAACAACCGGCGAGTGCAAGTTCTGCTGGATCTGAGGAGGGTTTGGTGCTCAACCCTCTGGATTGCCCAAACCTCCCCACTGTGCCCCCGATGCTGCGGCTGTTTGGTGACTCCGGACACAACTTTCTGGAAAAGGGAGGAAGTTCCTCCAAATCCTTTAATTTATGTGCTAAAAACCCGTCGAATCTGGAAAAAAAACCCCGACTCGCCCCATTCTCGTCCTTAAGGGATGCAGAGCTGGGGCAAAGGCTGCCAGGAGTGAAACTTTTCCAAGGAGCTTTGGCACTGATTCAGGAAAAAAATGGGAAAAAAAGATGAGTTTAAAAAAAATGCAAGATTTCACCCAGAATTGAACGGCGACCCCCTCCCCAGGATTCACATGGGTGGAAGGAATCTCAGTGGTTTCTCCCTGGAATTGTCCCTCCACGTGGGAAAATGGTGGAGTTTTAGCACCATGGGGGGAGGGCAACTGCCAAAAACCCTGAATTTGGTTGTTTTTTTTTAATTTTTCAATGCTAACAAGAAGGGTGTATTTCGCCTTAAAACGTGGCATGGGAGGAAACGCAAAAGCAAACCAGGGCAAAAATAAAGGAATTTTCTTCTGCAGGTTCCTGCTCTAAACGTAGGATTCTATCAGAGGGATAATTCTCTTTGTGGCTTTTTGCCCATATTGTCCTTTTTTTTTTTTTTTTTTTTTTTTTTTCTCTTGGAGGGTTGATAAAGAAACCCAAACAGGAGCCAGGGAAAAAAACACGAGTGATGCAATAGGCAGAAAAGCCTATTTTTCAATACTGATCTGGCGTGAATGTAATCTGTAATTTCATAAAGGATTCATTGTAATTTAGTATTAATTCCTGGCCATTTATTATAAAGTGCTACGAGATGAGGGGTTGCAGCTGTATTTTCTTGGCAGCTTCTTCCTGTGAGCAGAGAAGATCCAAAATGCTGGAATAACTCCCCCACCAAATGGGTGAATGGACCCAAATTGGTACTTATGTGGAGAAAATTGGATTTATACTTCCATAAGTGACAGTCCCCCAAAAATGAGAGATGCCCCTCCACCCCAAATGAGCTCCAACGGGATTTTGCCCACAAATTAATTATATCCCCCCCCAGATTAGTGGTGGTTACCCCAAAATCAGCTAAGTTCTCCAAAAATGAGTGATTCTCTTCCCTAAAATGTTACACACAACCCCAAAATGGGTGATGCTCAGCCTCAGAGTGAGTTATGGTCTCCAAAAATGAGGGATGCTCAAAACCCAGCAGTGACCCAAAAGGGGCAAATATCCCCCTGAAATGAGTGATTCTCCCCCAAAAATGAGTGCTCACCCCAGCATGTGTGATGTTCACCCCAAAATGAGTTGTACTCTCCCAAAGAGAATGATTCTCCCCCCAAAAAAGTGATGCTTCCCAAAGAGGAGTGACCCACCCCAGAATGGGTGATGCTGCCCCAAAATGTGCTGTGCTTTCTAAAAATGAGGGATGTGCCCCAAAATTTCAGGTGTTTCCCCAACCCTCCCAGCAAAAAAGTAGCATTTTCCATAAATGAATGAAGCTCTCCCCAAAAGAGGGATGCTTCTCCAAAATGAAGGGATTTTTTTTGAAGTGGGGCCCAAACATGATCTTCTCAAAACCACAGTGTTTCCCCCAAATGAACAATTCTCCCCCAAAATGAGCAATAATCCCCCAAATAAGTGACATGCCCCCAAAACTGGTGATCCTTCTGGAAATGAGTGACTCTCTTAAATAAGTGCCTACCCCCAAAATGACTGAATTTGCCCCAAAATGAATGACAACTCTCCAAAAATGAGCAGTGACCCCCCAAATTATGGACTCTACCAAAAAATGAGCGACAAACCCAAAACAGAGTAATTTTCTCTGAAATAGAAGCCCCCCTCATTCCCTAACAAGCCATTGCTAATTAATGTGTTGATATTCTGGGGGGAAAAAAGGTGATTTTTGCACAATTCTTAGCAGAAAATGGGGCTGCAGAAAAGTGGAAAAAAAAAAAGGGGGGGGAAAAAATCCCTGAGAATGGAATTTCACTGAGTTGAATTTCACCCCTGGGATGCCAGCAGCTGCAGCCACCTCTGAGCACCCAGCAGCTCGTTAGCCAGAAATCTGCATATTTTACAGATTCCAGAATATTCATGAGCACTGCAGCAAAGTCCACGTTGGGATTTTTTTTTTGCTTAAAAACTGCATTTTTCCTATCAAAAAGTTGCAAAGCGCCGCCGTCGGGAGCAGAGGGGGACACAGACACCGGAGGCCAGTTGCCTAATTAATGTAAGGAATCCTTTATTCCCAGCTGTGCAAAGGGAGGAGTGCAGGGGGGGGGCCCGGGCGACCCGTTTTCCTCGGGTTTGGCCCCGTTTTGGGGGGCGCCGGGGTGGGGGTGCGAGGGCAGCGCCGCGTCAGGTCGGGCAGAGCACTGCAAAGAGAGAGAGAGAGAGGCCTGGGGGGCACCCCACGGGGGGCACTGCGGGCACAGGGAGGCCTGAGCGGGCACAGGGATGCACAAGGATGAGCAGGGATGCACAAGGATGCATAAGGATGCAGAGGGATGGACAGGGATGCAGGAGGATGGACAGGGATGCAGGAGTGTGCCTAAGGATGGGTGCACAGGGACAGATGAGTGTGCATGGGGATGTACCAGGATACATGAGGATGCACAGGGGTGCACAAGGATGAATGAGGATGCACAGGGATGCAGGAGGATGCACAGGGATGCATAAGGATGCACAGGGATGCATAAGGATGCATAAGGATTCACAGGGATGCAGGAGTGCATGAGGATGTGTGCACAGGGACAGATGAGTGTGTGTGAGGATGTACTGGGATGCAGGAGGATGCACAAGCGTGCACAGGGATGCACAAGGATGAATGAGGATGCACAGGGATGCAGGAGGATGCACAGGGATGCACAAGGATGAATGAGGATGCACAGGGATGCAGGAGGATTCACAAGGATGCAGGAGGATGCACAGGGATGCAGAAGTGTCCGCAGGGATGCACAAGTGTGCACAGGGATGCAGGAGGATGTGTGCACAGGGACAGATGAGTGTGCAGGGGGGATGTACCAGGATACATGAGGATGCACAAGTGTGCACAGGGATGCACAAGGATGAATGAGGACTCATAGGGATGCAGGAGGATGCACAGGGATGCACAAGGATGCATAAGGATGCACAGGGATGCGGGAGTGTGCAGAGGGATGCACAAGGATGAATGAGGATGCACAGGGATGCAGAAGTGTGCACAGGGATGCACAAGGATGAACAGGGATGCAGGAGCGTGCACAGGGATGCACAAAGATGCATAAGGATGCACAGGGATGCACAAGGATGAATGAGGATGCACAGGGATGCAGGAGGATGCACAGGGATGCAGGAGGATGCACAGGGATGCAGAAGTGTCCGCAGGATTGCACAAGTGTGCACAGGGATGCAGGAGGATGTGTGCACAGGGACAGATGAGTGTGCATGGGGATGTACCAGGATACATGAGGATGCACAGGGGTGCACAGGGGTGCACAGGGATGCACAAGGATGCATGAGGATGCACAGGGATGCAGGAGTGTGTACGAGGATGCAGGAGAATGCAGAGGGATGCTGGAGTTTGCACAGGGATGCTGGAGTGTGCACAGGGATGCACAAGGATGCAGGAGGATGGACAGGGATGCAGGAGTGTGCCTGGGGATGCATGAGGATGTGTGCACAGGGACAGACAATTGTGCATGGAATGCAAGAGGATGCACAAGTGTGCACAGGGAGTCACGAGGATGCACAGTGTTTGAGCATGTGAAATGCTGCACGAGGGTGCACAGTGACACCCAGGCTGGCACTGGGCTGCACAAGAGTACCCAGGAGTGCCTGGGGGCTGCATAAGGACACCCAGTGCCAGTCTGGGTGTCACTGGGCTGCACAGGGGTGCACAAGAGTGCCCAGGAGTGCCTGGGGGCTGCATAAGGACACACGAGTGTGCACAGGGACACCTGAGGGGTGCACAAGGGTGCATGAGTGTGCTCATGTGCATGAGGACTCAGGAGGCTGCGTGAGGGATGGACAGGAGGTGTGTGGCAGAGGCACAGGGATGCCTAAGGATGCTCAGGAAGATGAATGGGGATGCCTGAGGGAGGCAGGAGGGCTGCCCCACGGGGCATGAGGGCTGAGAGGGGGTGCCCAGGGGGTGGTGAGGTTGCTTGGAGGAAGCAGATGGGCCCCAGGATGGTGCAGGGAGGTGCACAGGGACCTCCACCCACAAAACCTAAACAAAGACTGCCTGAGGGATGTGCAGGAGATGCACCCGGGATTCCTGAAGGAATGGAGGAGGCACAAAGGATGCACTGGAGATGCAGGAGGAATGCACACAGGATGGATCCAGGATTCTCCGAGGATGCATGGAGGGTGCATGGGAAATGTGTAAGGGATGCATGAAGTTGCATGAGGGATGGGCAAAGGATGCACAAAGGACATGAGGGAGAGGCAGGAGGAGGCAGGAGGATGCAGAAGGGATCCATGTGGAAGCACAGAGGCACAAGGGCTGCACAGGAACTGCACACAAGGAGTGCCCAGAGCAGGCAGGAGGGCAGCAGGTACCTTTGAGGATGTAATCCGTGAGCAGTGTGGGCACCTTCTCATTCCCCTCCTTCATGGCAAACAGGACTGTGAGGGGGAATGGAGCTGTGAGCCCACCCCTGCTGCCCCCCAAATGTCACTTTTCCCCCCCCAAAATAGCCCCACAGTCGCCACAGAATTTCCCACAGTGCAGCAGGTCTGGAAGCATCCAAAGAAAAGCACTTTCACCCCCAATTAGCCAATCCATGGCAACGCAGAACGAGCGATTTAGCCCCAAATCAGCACTGCTGTAAGGTGCATAAATCAGAGGGGAGGTATTGGCTGCAAACCAGCTGTGCTGCAGTGATGCAAAACAGGTATTTCCCCTCCAAAATAGGTCTGTTGCAATGATGATGCAACACAGGTGGTAGCACCTCAATTTGCCCAAGCTGCAATGATGCAAAAAAAGGGGAGATTGTCCCCAAAACTGACTGTGCTGCAACAATACCCCAAATCACAGCTGCTGCAGCACTGCAAATGTGCCTTTGTGTACCCAAAACACCCAATTCTGCCCCAAAATGCCAGCTCCAAGGAATACTCACTGTTGGTGAGCATCTGCAGGTCCTCGACGGAGGGTGGTGAGCCCTTCTTCTCGTAGGGAATCACCGTGTTCAGGTACTGCAAAAACAAAAGCCACTCCAAAAAACCACCCAGATGGCACAAAACTGCCTGGTTTTTGCACTGCTTTGAGACAAATCTCACCCCAAATTCATGGAGAAATAGAGTATTTCTGCAATATTCCTGCGATTTTGGGGAGTAGTGAATAAATTGGGTGCTTCAAACTCCACCCAAATGCAACCCTGATCAGGGAGGACTTTTTGGGGTGAAAACCAGTGATTTTTGCAGGATGGATTAGCAGGGTGTATGGGATGGAGCAGGGCTGTAAAACTTAAAATCATTTTAAAAAGGGGCTGGGGGATGCAAGGAAATGGGGAGCGTGGGGAGGGGAAGTGAAAGGGAACAAATTTGGGCAATTTTGGGATGGGGGAGGAAAGGGCACCTGCTTCTCGTTGGCGGCAGGACCAAAAGTCTGGCGCAGGCCGGAGTGCAGGATGCTGGAGATGCCCTCCATGCTGAAGCGCTGGGGGACACGTGTCACCCTGTCACCTCCCGGGGACAGCGGCATCACCCGTGGCACCTCCTCTGGCACCGACATTCCCCAAGCTCCCCGACTCCCACCCACATCCCTCCTTTTTCCCGGTCCCAGATCCCACTCCACCTATGTCCCCATGTCCCCCTGTCCCCTTGCTCTGTCACCACATGCCTCCTGTGCCATGTTCCTCTGTCCCCACATCCCTGTCCCCCCATGGAGCTGCTCTCTGCTCCCACATCCGCACCCTGCCCATGTCCCTCTGTTCCATATCCCTCCCATCCCCCTGCTCCATATCCCCTCATCCCCCTGCTCCATGTCACCTTATCCCACATCCTCCCTATTCCCCTACTCTCTGTCCCCCCCACCCCTGACCCATGTCCCCACATCCCTCTGCCCCATCCTGTCACAATTTCCATCCCCACATTCCCCTGTCCCATGCACCATCATCCCATCACATCCCTCATCCCCCCCACTCCATGTCTCTGCCCAAGCCTGTCACCATTCCCATCCCCACCTTACCCTGTCCCATTCCACCCATCCCACCTCAACCCTCATCCCTCTGCCCCCATGTCCTTCTACCCCATCCTGTCACGATTTCCATCCCCACATTCCCCTATCCCATGCACCCTCATCCCATCACATCCCTCATCCCCCCATTCCATGTCCCTCTGTCCAAGCCCGTCACCGTTCCCATCCTCACCTTACCCGTATCCCATCCTTCCATCCTATTCCCTCCCATTCAGTCCCCATCCCGTTCCGTTGCCCATCATCCACCTCAACCCTCCTCCCTTGACCAATGTCCTTCTGCCCAAAGCTTGTCACCGATTCCCATCACCACCTTACCTATCCCATTCCCATCCCATCCATCCATCCACTCCATATCCAATCCCAACCCTCATCCCCTGCCCCCATATGTCCCTTCGTGGCCCACATCTTGTCCCGGGCCGCCCCCGTTACCCCGGTTGATTGGCCCATTCCCACAATCCCCAACCCCCACCTCACTTCCCTGCCCTTCCCCGGTTGGCCCCAGCCCTGTCCCACGGCCGCAACGTGTGGTTCCCCGCCATTGCGGGATGTGGTTCCCGCGGTCGGGACGCTCGCCCCTGTGAGGCTCAGCCCCTTGTCGCGTCGGCGCGGGCGTGCCTCTCGGCTAGCTCCCGCTGCTCGCCCTGCACGGCCAGCAGGGCCCCGATTGACGCACGTTCTTACCTCCTTCTCGAAGGCACAGCTCGTCCGCCGTGCCAGCCTGTCGCACAGCTCGCCGACAGCGACCGGCTTCGCACGACCTCCGCCGGCCCGCGCGCGCCCGAAGCTCACCGTGCCGACAGCCGGCCCAGCCCTGCCCGGGACCGCTTTAGAGACGGGCATGTGCCAGGGGAATTCCGGGACGGGTGGGTTGGGTTGAAGGTCCATGAGATCTTATCTCGTTGGAACCCCCCCACCCACTGACAGGAACCTCCACCAGCCAGTTGCTCCAAGGCCCTGTCAACCTGGCCTTGGACACTCGCAGGGATGGACCGGCAGCCACAGCTTCTCTGGGGCAGCCTGTGCAGGGCCTCCCCACCCTCCCAGGGAAGAATTCCTTCCCAATATCCCATCTAACCCTTCCCTCTGGCAGTAGGAAGCCATCACCCCTTATCCTCCAGGCCTTTGTCCCCAGTCCCTCTCCAGCTCTCCTGGAGCCCCTTTAGGCACTGGAAGGGGCTCTCAGGTCTCCCTGGAGCCTTCTCTTCTCCAGGCTGAACACCCCCAGCTCTCCCAGCCTGCACCAGAGGTGCTCCAGCCCTCAGAACACCTCCGTGGCTTCCTCTGGACGTGGTGCAGTGACACACACGATGAAGGCAGGGAAATGCCCGGTGCAACCAGTGAAGTGCACACGGCAACCATTAAAGTGCATCTCGTGCCGAGCGAGATGTGCTCTGCATTTCCTGAGCCACCAAGGAATAAATCTATTGTGCAATTACCGATTAATGCCGTGCCCAGAGCAGCTACAGAACTGCCTGGCACTGTTAGTGACATACAAGGTGCACTGGGGGACACTCACAGTGACGTGCATGGTGCCATTAGTGACATGTATGCTGCGATTAGTGACATGCATGGTGTGACTAGTGACATGTGTGGTGTGATAAAGGGGCTCTGTAATTAGGGGAATGAGCAGAGCAATTAGTGAAATGCCTGGGGGGATCAGTGACACACCCCGTGCCACCAGGGACAAATCTCATGCGCGTGGTGCACTCCGTGTGGAACGCGAAGGCTCCTGGCGAACCCTGAGCCACATCCCTCTCTTCTTCAGTTTTTGCCAAGAGCCCCTCTGGCCAAGCCCTGGAGCAAGCCAGCACTGAGGCCTGGGAAGACTCAGTTGTCCAATTTGGTTGGAATTGTCCCCCAAAAGTGACTGGCCTGGGCTTTGCTGGCCGTACCTTCGTGGGAGCAGTTGTTGTTGAGGGCAGGGGAGAAAGCCCGCAGCTCCCGCAGCAGGATGGGCTCTGTGCCCCCGCCACCTCCTTCGCCTTCAGCATCAGCCTCAGTTTCCTCCTCCTCGTCCTCCTCCTCCTCTTCCTCCTCACCCTCGGGGTCAGCCTCAGGGTCAGGTGAACTCTGCATCAGCTCCTCCAGCTCCTCGATGACCTGCGGGGCATCAGTGTCCTCCATCTGCGCCTGCATCTGACCTCCACCTTGTACCTGCTCCCTGCATCCCACGGCTGCAGCCTGCACTTGCATCCCTGTCCTCCACCTGCACCCTGAATCCCTGTCCTGCACCCACATCTGCCCTCTGCATCCCTGTCCTGCACCCACATCTGTAACCTGCTCCCTTCATCCTGCCCCTGCATCCTCTGACTCCATTTCCACCCTGCCCCTGCATTCTCCATCCTTATCAGCACCTGCATCCTCCATCTGCAAACTGCTCCATCTGCATCCTCCCTTCTTATTGACATTGAGCATCCTGCACCTGCATCCTCCATCCTCCTCTTCATCCTCCAGCTGCATCCTGCTCCCTCCATCCTGCACCCACACTTGCATTTACGTTCCTCTGTACCTCGGGTCCTCCATTTGCATCCTGCATCTGCATCCCACATTCCCATCTGCATCCAAATCCCACATGCCATGGGCACTCTGGACCTGCATCCCCACCTAAATTTGCATCCTGCTCCCTGCACCCCCCTCCTCCTCCTGCATCCTGGATCCTGTACTTGCACCTGCATCTGCATCCTCTATCCAGCCTCCACACCCTGCAGCTGCCTCTGCATCCCCCTCCCTGCACCTGCACCCTCCATCCTGCATCCCACACCTGCACCCTGCATCCCACATCTGCACCCTGCATCCCACACCTGCACCCTGCATCCCACATCTGCATCCTGTATCCCACACCTGCACCCTGCATCCCACATCTGCACCCTGCATCCCACATCTGCACCCTGCATCCCACACCAGCATCCTGCATCCCACACCTGCACCTTGCATCCCACAACTACACCCTGCATCCCACATCTGCATCCTGCATCCCATATGTGCACCCTGCATCCCACATCTGTACCCTGAATCCTGCACCCCACACCTGCACCCTGCACCCCACATCTACACCCTGCATCCCACATCTACACCCTCCATCCCACATCTACACCCTGCATCCCACACCTGCACCCTGCACCCCACATCCACATCCTGCCTCTGCACCAGCATCCTGGAGCTGCAACCCACCTCTGTCCCCCTACCCCTTTCGTTCTTCCCATGCCACCCACTTTATCCAGCACCCCCACCCCACGTTCCCATCTGCACCCAAATCCTGTGTCAGCACCCACCACCTGCACTTCCCTTTACATCCACATTCCACATCCTCATCCCAAGATAATGGGATTTGGCCTTTCCTTGTGCTTTCAGCACATGGCCATGGGGCTGGGGGGGGTTAAAGGACACGCAGGGATCCAGGTGCCCAGGGGGTGGGGGTACCTGCTCAGCTGTCAGCAGCGGCTCCTCGTTGATGCCCGAGTCCTGCTCACTCCTCTCAGTGAGCTCCTCCTCCTCCTCCTCCTCCTCCTCCTTCCCACCGAGCTGCAGGAGACACAGGCTGGGCAGCCTTGGGGGCACCACAGGCCCAGCCCAGCATGGACACAGGCACAGCCCTGGCCCTGGCCCAGGGAGAGGCACCAGGGAACTCTGGCTCAGGGGGACACGCTGCACGGGGGGGTGGCATGAGGAGACACCGGATTGAGGGTATTGGATGGAGATGCTGGGTGGGGATGTTGGGTGGGAGGACGTTGGACAGAGGCACTGGATGGAGATGGATGGAGATGTTGGATGGGGAAGTGTTGGACAGGGATGTTGGATGGGGCTTTGAACAGAGCCACTGGAGACAGAGACGATGAACAGGGAAGCACTGCAGGGGAGGTGTTGCAAGGAGATGTATAGAGATGTTGGATAGGGAGACACTGGGTGGAGAGTTGCTGGATGGAGACACTGGATGGAGAGTTGTTGGATGGAGACACTGGACTAGGAAGAAGGCAGGGAGAAGTACAGGTCTGTTGGATGGAGCTGCTGGATGGAGAGATGTTTTATATATATAAATATATTGGGTGAGGAGGTGCTGGATATGCTGGATGGAGATGCTGGGGATGCTGAATGGGGAGATGAGGGATGGTGAAGCTGAATGGTCTGATGGAGACACTGGGTGGGGACATGGGACAGGGAGATGGCAGAGGGGACCTCTGAATAGGGAAGGGATGGATGGAGATGCTGAACAGAGATGTCAGACAACGAGGCATCTTCTTTATTGCCACTTTTCAGTCTTTTTCACCTTTTCAGAAGCAAATAACCCGAGAAAGTCTCTTCCCCCTTCAGCCACGGGCTGTGTTAAATCCAAATGGGTTAAATTCCGTGGATTCTGGGGCGTTTTTACAACCCCAAAAGCAGCAACTGAGAGCACAAACTCACCACAACAATGAAACCACTGTTTCCTACCCCCAAAAATACTCCACCCCACCCCTGACACGGGGACAAACCGGCAAATCCCAGATTGTCAAACCAAACACTTCATCTTGCCCGTTTCAGCGTGATTTGACCCTAAAATGTGGACACTCACTGCACTGGTGCTGCAGCACCCCAAAACTACCATTTTTGGGTAATTTGCAGTGCCCTGATGGTCATTAAGGCTGAGGAGAGGGGGGCTCTGGGGAGCCAAGGGGGGGCCACTGCCGTACCTGGGGGTTGGTGCCGTCGGGGGCCTCAGTGCCAGGGAGCCACGGCCGGGGGGAGCTCCGGGGGGCAAAGCCATCAGTGAGAGCATCCCAGACCCTGCAGGGAGGTGGGTGGTGAGTGGCAATTCCCAAAATGCTGCCTCTCAGAGAGCTGTCTCAAAAATGGCACGCCGAGACACCTCGGAACATCCCAAAGTGCAGCCCTGCAAACAACCTGAAACGCCCTACAAAAATCCCAAAACACCACTGAGACGCCTGAAACATCCCAGAACACCCCAAATGATACCCTAGAAGACCCCAAATGCTGCCCTAGAAGACCCCAAAGCTTCTCAAAATAGCACCATGAAATATTGCCCTGAAATACCCCAAAGCACCCCAAAATGCTGCCCCAGCACCTGAGATGCCCCCAAATGTCATTTTGAAATGCTGCCATCAAAACACCACCAAAAGGCCACTGTAATGTTCCAAAATGTCTCCACATGTCCCAAAAGACCACCAAAAAACATCATCATGACTCCCTGAAGTGGCCCAAAGCACCATCCTAAAACACTGCCCCAAAAATCTCTGAAAGGCCCCAAACCACCTCAAAATGCTGCCCTGGAACACCCCAAAATGACCCCAGATGTTCTCCCGAAATACCCCAAAACGCCCCTAAAGGTCCCAAAGCTCCAAAATGCCACCCTGAAATGCTCCAACCACCCAAAAAAGACCCCCAAATTACCCCAAAATATCCCTTTTGAACATCTGGAAATACCCTAAAATGCTTTCCTGAAACACTGACCAAAATGCTCCAAAATGCTGCTCCAGAACACACTGAAACATCTCAAAATGCTGTCCCCGAACTCCACCCCAAAAAGCTTCCCAATGCTTCCAAATATTGCCCTGACATCCTAAAACATCCCAAAATGCTGCCCTGACACATTGCCCAGAAACCCCTTAAAAAGCCTCAAAAAGCTGCCCAGCTTTTTGAAATACCCCAAAATGCTGCCACGATGCTCCAGAACACCCCTCAATTGTCCAACACCCCAAAACGCTTCCACAATGCCCCAAATGCCCCCAAACTCCCCAAAATGCTGAGCTGGAACAGGCTGAAAAACCTCACAATGCAGCCACAACACCCAAAAAATGCCACCCTGAAACACCCCAAACTGTCACCTGGAGACAGCCCTGAAACCCCCCCAGAGCTGCCCTGAAAGGCCCTAAAAGATGTCCCTGGAACATACGAAAATCCTGCTTTGAAATATGCCCCAAAACACCCCAAAAACCAGCTGTGATGCCCCGAGAAGCCCCAAAACACCCCAAAGTTTCCCAAAATACTGTCCTAAAAAGCTGGAAACACCCATAGAAGGTCCCCAAAGCAGCCCAAACCATGGCCCTGATACCCCAAAATGCACCAAAATCCCGCAGAATTGCCCAGAATTCCCCTAAATTTCCTCCTCTGTGTCATTATTGGGGCTGTCTGGTTCTGCCCTGCAGGGCTGGACCAATTTTGCCCAATTTTACCCCAGTAAAGTTGCATGGGGGAGGGGGAACAGAGGGGAAAAAAACAAAACCAGGGGAAAATGGGGAGAAACATGGGAAAAAATGTTTAAAAAAGTCCGAAAAAGTGAAAAAGAGAAAAAAGGGGGGAAGTGGAGGAAAGGGAGGGAAGGGGGGTAAAAAGGAAAAAAATTGAATTAAATGTGAAAAAAGGTGAAAAAAGGGGAGGAAGGGGAGAATAGAAAGAGAAGGAAAAAGGAAGAGAGGGGAAAAAGGGGGGGAAAGGAAGAAAGGGAAAAACAGAAGAGAAAAGAGAAAAAAGGTGTAAAAAAGATGGAGAAAAAGGGTAAAAAGGGAGAAAAGGGGGGAAAATGGGAGAAAGGAAATTTGAGTAAAACAGGGGAAATGGAAAAAAAATGAAAAAGAGGGAAAAGAAGGAAATAGGGGGGAATGGAGAAAGATGAGAAAAAGGGGAGAAAGGGAAAGAGGGGAAAATAGGGAATAGAGAGAGGAGGAAAAGGGCCAAAAGAGGGGAAAAAGAAAAACTGGGAGAAAAAGAAAATGGGGAAAAAGAGAAAATGTAAGAAAAAACAGGGAATGAGGTGAAAAATAGGGGAAAAGTGGAGAACTGGAGGAGGAACAGAGAAAATGGGAGAAAAGAGCAGAAAACAGTGGGTTTGGTCCAACATGGTACCACATCCTAATTCCCTGAAAATCACCCCAAAACCCCCTGCCCCCTTCCCAGCCCGAAAACTGCTCATTTTTGGGGATTTATCTTATTTCCCTCCTCACCAGAGCTGAATTCCCCTCGAAATTAAAGATTTCACCAATTAACACACAAAACCGCACATGGTAAACCCCTCACACTGCTATTTTTTAACAAAAAAAGCAGCAAATCAGCGGTTATCCCCCCAAATTTGCCTTTTCCCCCCTGCTCTTAAAGGGCCAGCCCCCCCCCCCCAGAGCCAAGCCCAGAGCAGCAGTAATTTCTGGGTTAATTACGGCCAGAAATGGTTAATAATTGGGGAAATCCAGCGCCTGTAAGGCCCCGGTCCCTCCCCCAACCCCGCACACAGGGCTCATTCAAGGAGGAAGAATAAAAAAAAAAAGAAAAAAAAGCCCTGTTTTGCCCAAAGTGACCCAAAAAAGACACAATGAGCGGCACAAAGCGGCGACGGCGCGGCCGCCCCGGCGCGAGGCCAAGCTGAGTTTTGCTCTGAAAAACCAGCGATTCGGCCAATTGCGAAAATCTGCTCGGCCTCAGCTGCTCTCGGGGACAAAAAGCCAGCAAGACAAAACAAAATAATAAAAAAAATCAACAGATTTGGGGCTTTTTTGGGGGTTTAAAACAACCGCCTTTACACGGTGGGAATAAGGATTAGCAGTCGTGGCCTGGGGAATAATCCCAGTTAAACACACACCAAAAATCCACGAGAAACGTGAGAGTGTGTGAACATCACAGGGGGAAAAAAAGCCCATGGATTTGGGGGGAAAAAAAGCCCATGGATTTGGGGAAAAAAAGCCCATGGATCTGGGGAAAAAAAGCCCAGGGATCTGGGGAAAAAAAAGCCCATGGATTTGGGGGAAAAAAAAAAGCCCAGGGATTTGAGGAAGAAGAGGCATTTTGCAACAAAGCAAGGTTTTTAATGAAATCGTAGAATTTAACACAAAAGGCACAATGTTTATTGGGGGGCCTGGGGGGAGTTTGACTCCAAACTGGCTGTCCCCTGGCGAGGTACAGAGGAGGTGGCTAAGCTTTACTCACACCTTACTCAAGGTTTATGCTCAACCCCCCGGGCTCTCCTGGCACAGAAGGAGCCATGACCCCCCGGGACATGCTGTGCCACCTCTTAGGATGCTGCTCCAGGGATCCCACACAGCTACTCCAAAGATCCTACATGGCTACTCCAAGGTGCTGCACGATCATGCCGCAGTCCAGGCACTGACTTGCGTGTGGTGGGAGCTCAGAAGCATGCAAGGAGGTGCAAGAGGTCCCAGAGGGGTGTTAGTTGTAAGACACTACACCGCTACTCCCAAGTGCTACACGATCACGTTGCAATAGGTGAGCTGGGCTGCGTGCTGTGGGAAGGGGGTGTGTGTATCATGACCAGGCAAGGAGGCATGCAGGCCCAATCATATGGCCTACTCATACAGTCCTACACAGCTACTCACAGGATACCCCACAGTTACTCCATGGTGCCCCATGGCTATACCACGGCGCAAGGGCCGAGGTGCATGTGGGCTGTACCTTGCTAGAGAGGCGGCCTGCAGACCCCAAAGACACCCTTTTCCATAGGGATACTACAGTGCTATTCCCGACATGGAGCACGACCATGCCCTCCATGCAGGGGCTGCTCAGGGAGGGGTGCAAGGAGGCACGCTGGCTATGAGAGGGCTTACTCACAGGTTACCACACCACTGCTTTCATGCCTTGCACAGCCGTGCTGCAGTGCTGGGAGCCAGTTTGCACTGCAGGGGGGTGTCAGGGGTACATGTCCCCAGAGCAGGGGGGCCTTACTCACTCCTCATCCTGCAGGCGCTCCTCCTCCTCCTGCGCCTGGAGGTGACCCCGCACCGGGGCCAGGCCCTCGGTGGCAGCGTCGTAGTTGCGGAAGCAGACGGTGAGCTTCTCGTCGAACTCCTGCACCAGGTCCTCCATGGACTTGAAGCTCATCATCTCGGCCGAGAAGCTCTCCAGCTCCGCCAGCGCGGGGTCCGCGGGGCGCTGCAGGGTCCCCCCATCGTCCCCGGGCCCCTCCTCGAACTCCTCCTCCAGGCTCACCAAGGGCGCCTCCATCCTCCTCAACACCGATGTGCCGCCTTAGCTGAGGGGAGAGGGTGCCTGTGAGGCACCAGGCTACCAACAGGTTACACCCCCAGGCCCCCCGTTCCCTTTGCTGCTGCTCTGCTGACTGAAACCCTACTGCCAGGGCTCTTACACAACCAACAGTATCTCTGCAGTATCCTAGTAGTATCCTAACAGGATCTCAGTACTGCCTTCATAGAAATATGCTGACATCCTGACATCATTCTAGCAGCAATTTGCTAGTAGCAACAAAGTGCTGACAGTGGTCCAAGTAGCTTAGTGCTACTCTGATAGTATGTAAAAAACATCATAACATTACCTTTGTCCCTGAAGTGGTAGTATCTTACTGGTATCCTTATACTGTATCACTACTATCTTAGCAGTGGCCTGAAAGTATCATACTAGTATCAGTAATGGGCTGACAGTATCCCAAAAGTTTGAGTGTCGCCCTGAGAGCAACTATCTTACCACAACTATCTCACCACTATCTTTTCTAGCGCCCTTGTATTGGGAGTATCCTGCTGGTATTCCACTTGCATCCTGAGAGCATCCTACTGAAAAATGAGTAGTCTTGATAGCACCTTAGTAGCTTTGTGATAATATCCTGGTAGTATCACAGTAGTACTCTCATACTATCTTAGTAGTATCCTAGGAATGGCCCTGTAGTATCTTAGTAGTGCCTTACTAGCATTGTGAAAGGATCTCAGCAGCAGCTTTGGAGTACCCAGAGAGTATCCTGACAACATCGTAGCAGCATCCTGATAATAGCTTTTTGCTACACCTAGAGTATCCCAGTAGCAGCCACTGAGTAGCTCAGCATTGCCCTGATATTGTACCAGCACAGGCAGGAATATCCTGATGCTATGTCAGGAGCATCCCAACAGCCTCCTGGTTCCAGACTTCACAGTGCCCTGATAGTACCACAGTATGTAAATTATTAAGGAGTGCCCTGATAGGATCCTATTAGTGGTGTAATGGCATACAGCTATTATCTTCATAGTGTCCTGGGAGTATCTTGATAGTGCAAAGTCATACCCAGATATTATCTTCCTGCCATGTAACTACACTGAAAGCAACTTAAACATATCCTGAGAGTAACCAAAACCATCCTGTTACTCTCCATCTGGTGTGAGCTGCTCCAGTGGCACCTTCATACGAGTATTTCAGTATCAGCCCTGGAAATATGCTGGAAATATCCTAGTGGTGTCCTGACAGAATCCTGGTAGTGCCCTGACAGTACCTCAGCAGAGTTCTCACAGCAGCCACAAAGCATCCACATAGTATCCTGAGAGTATCTTAGTGCCACCCGGTAAGTTCTTTACTACAGCCTGCAAGTAAGGTGTCCACATTCCACTAAACTCAAGATAGCACCTTAGCAGCATCCCAGCAGCATCTCAGCTGTGTCTAGACAGTAGTTCACTATGTCAGTAACTCAGAAGGTCACTGAGGATATCCCAGTAGTATCTGAGCAGCAGTTTCTTAGGGAGCAAATAGTAACCTAGTAGTAAGGTAGTAATAGCCCAGTAAAGACATCCCTACACTTCCCTGGGGACGGGAGCAGAAACATCACAGCTCTGGGGGGAAGCCTGGCCAGACCAGGGCTTTGAGTAGCACCCACTCACACCCACGTGCTGCCACACCTACATGCAGCACACCCACACAGCCCTGGGCACACGTGTGCTCCACGGTGTGGGCAAGAGCCTGCAATGCCTGCAGCACGTGCCCACACACACCTGGGCACACCTGTGCACACCTGAATCCACATACATACACTGTGCACACCTGAATGCACACAAACCATGCAGGTGTGCACACCTGCATCCACACACCCCCTATGCACACCTGTGCACATCTGAATCCACACGCACACTGTGCATCTGTACACACCTGTGCACACCTGAATCCACAGACACTATGCAGGTGTGCACACCTGCATCCACACATACACACCCTGTGCACACCTGCATACACACACACACTGTGCACCTGTACACACCTGTGCACACCTGAATCCACAAACACACTGGGCACACCTGTGCACACCTGCATCCACACACACTATGCAAGTGTGCACTCCTGCATCCACACATACCCTGTTCACACCTGTGCACACTTGAATCCACACACACACTGTGCATGTGTGAACACCTGCATCCACATCCACACACTGTGCACCTGTACACACCTGTGCACACCTGAATCCGCACAAACACACCCCGTGCACACCTGAATCCACACCCACTATGCAGGTGTGCACACCTGCATCCACACACACCCCATGCACACCTGTGCACACCTGAATGCACACACACTATGCAGGTGTGCACACCTGCATCCACACACCCCCTGTGCACACCTGAATGCACACACAGTATGCAGGTGTGCACTCCTGCATCCACACACACACACTTTGAACCTCTGTGTACACATGTGTGTGTGTGTGTGTGTGTGTCCCCACTTGCACCACAGACCCCCTCCCACTCCTGCACCACCCACAGACACCTGGCTCCAGGCCCCACAAACACCAGCACCCCAACTTCATGCACACACCCATGCACACGCATGCCTGCTCGTGCACATACCTGCACACACACGTGTGCACACACCTCACACCTGTGCACACACACAAGCCTGCAGCCGCACACACACACCTTCACATGCACACACCTGCACATGCACACGCACTTGCACATACACACTTGCACACGTACACCCATCTGCAACTGCACACACTCCTGCACATGCACACACCTGCACACACACACTCCTGCACCTGCACATGGACACACACACAATCTGCACACACACACCCCCCTGCAACCTGCATACCCCACACACACTGTGCAGGTGTGCACACCTGCAATCCACATCCACACACCGTGCACCTCTACACACCCTTGCAGCGACCTGAATCCGCACAAACACAACCCTGTGGCAGCAGCTGACATCCGCACTGAATCCACCACACTACTATGTTGAACTCCCGCCCACACACACCTGCACCCCCCCCCGCACACACCCTGCACATGGCCCCACGATACACACACACACACACGCCTGTGCACAGACCCCCTACACTTGCACATGGACACACAGCACACACACACACAGAACCCTACCACCTGGGGCACCACGGACACAAACAACACACACCCAATAGCCACACCACCCCCCTACACCTGCACACACCCCCCCCTGTGCGCACACACACACATACACATGCACATGCACACACAGGAGCTTGAACACATGCACACACACAAACTGCCCTGCACGCACACACACACACACACACACACTCACACACACATTACACACGCACTGTGCACACTCACCCCCACCTACACATTTGCACATGGACACACACACACACACACAGAGCCCTACACCTGCACATGGACACAAACACACACACCTGTGCACACACACCCCCTACACGTGCACACACACCCCCTGTGCACACATACCTGCACATACACACACGTGCACATGCACACACAGAGCTGAACACGTGCACACACACACTGCCCTGCACGCACACCCCCACACACACCCCCACACACACCTGCACATGGATGCACACACACAGACACACACGTCTGCGTGCACACACATCCCCGAGTGCACACATTCTTGCACATACACACGTGCACACACACACACACACACAGCTGAACACATGCACACCCCTCTGCACACACACAGACAACCCCTGCACACACAACCCCTGCACACACAACCCTTGCACACACAACCCTTGCACGTACACACACATGCACACACACACCCAGAGCTGAACACACGCAGCCCCCCTGCGCATACATACACACACACACACACACAATCCCTGCACACACTCCTCCATACACCCACCCCCCCGCAAACACCCAAACCGTTGCACACACGCACACACCCTCACCCCTGCACACACACACACATCCCTGCACACACACATCCCTGCACACGCACACACATCCCTGCACACACACACACATCCCTGCACACACACACACATCCCTGCACACACACATCCCTGCACACGCACACACATCCCTGCACACACACATCCCTGCACACGCACACACATCCCTGCACACGCACACATCCCTGCACACACACATCCCTGCACACGCACACACATCCCTGCACACACATATCCTGGCACACGCACTACACACCTCTGCAACACACACATGTCCCCTGACACATCCACATCCTTGCACTACACACACACATCCCGCACAGCTCCACATACAGATCCCTGCACACGCACACACATCCCCTGCAACACCATCTGTCACAACAACACATCCCTGCACACACAACATCCTGCACACATCACACACATCCTGCACAACACACATCCCTGCAACACACGACACACATCCTGCCGCGCATATATAAGTCCCCTGCACACACAACATCCCTGCCACTCCCCCACACTCCGCCCAACAACACCCCCGCTGCCCCCCGCCGCCCCCGCACCGCACGCCCGCACCCCTCCTTCCCCACTCTCATATCCCCATCGAACGCTCAAAACCGCAGCGCATCCCTCCTCTCCCCGCCGCCCCCGCACCGGCGCCCCCGACCCCCCCCCCCAGCCCTCCCCCTCCTGTCTGCGCCAACACCCCCCATCCCTCCCTGAGCGTCCACGCCGCCCCGCCATCGCCCCCCGGAGCCCGCGCGCTCGCGGCCGCCAACGTCGCCCCCTAAACCCACCCCTCCGCAACGCCCGCGCCCTCCACACACCCTGGGGGTGCCCCGCCCGAGACCCCAAATCGCCCCCCCCGGCCCGCCGTGCCGAGCATCACCCGCAGGCCCTCACCTAAAGCCCTCCCCCTGCGGACCCCCCGGTACCCGCCCCAGCTCTCCGCACCTCACCTCGCATCCCGCATCTCCGCTCGGCGTGCCGGGGGGGGGGCGGTGGGGGTGTGCATCTCGGCGCTACGCGCTGGTGACGTCACCGGATGCCGGGTGTGGTCAAGGGAGCCGTGACGTCATCCTCACCCGGGTGGTCCAGCACTTTTTCCGATACCCGACACGTCTGTACCGCCCGCCTCCGCGGCCATCCAGGCGTTTATACACGCGGGGCTGCGCGGGTCGAGAGGGCGCCGAGGGAGAAATGTGGGGGGGGGGAATAATTGAAAACGAGGAAATGAAAATAGGAATTTATAAATAGGAAAAACAAAACAAAAGATGAGATAGAGGTGAAATCGCAGATGCAAAAATTGTTTCCCTTACAGAACAAAAATTTTAACGATTTATAGGCTAAAAACGAAAATAGAAATCTATTTATAAAATGAAAATAACCCCCCCTTTTTCCTCTCAAAAATTAAAATAATAATCACAAAAAAATGAGTCACT